ACTATCGCTCGCATTACTGTCACAATTATCCAGATAAAGGCCGCGCTGACAAATCGTTCCGAATATGAATGCCATTAGTTGGCCGGGGGAAGCCACTATTAATGGCCCATAAGAAATCAATAAGCCGGCGTTAAATCATCGGCAATCATAGCTCAAAATAGCAGCAACAAAAAACCGGAGCATTGGCCATTAACAAATGTTGTCTTCCCCAGAATTAGGAGCAGGGGAGTGTCTTTCATTTCGGGTGATATTCATAGAATGCCTGGCCATTTGCCTAATGCAAGGCCATAAAAATATCGCTGCGTCCCCACTGCGTATGAGTAATATTTCTGGCAAACTAATTTAGAGGCTTTTAGTCCGCATTTATAGCGTTTTCATATTTAGGTTGTGCCATTGAAAAGGATTTTCCCCACAGAAACGTGTGGATTTTCACACATTCACCAAACGCCACAGAGCACGATTCCTTTGATGCGAAAACTAAACGAAAATCGAAACAATTTTAGTGCGATTTTCGAGTGGCCATTTTTTAGTATTTTAGCATTTTTCTGTGGACACTCAAGCGTGTGAGCCGCAGTCAAATTTTGACAAGAAAAACTGCTCTCAAAATCAATAAATCACACTAGTTCATGGCGAAGGGGAGCAGAGGGGCTCCGATTGGCGCTAAGCCGAAACTAAAACCCGGCGACCGAAGGGCGATATCGGGGGAAACAGGAAACGGGATGCCCGGCAACATATTGTTTCAATATTTGAATTCAATTTAATGGCAGCTAATTGAAAAAACAGAGCACCCAGTGTGCGGCAACAATAATGCACTGCCCGAGTGGCCGAGTTTGTTCAGCGATTGGGTCACCGGTTTTTTGCTCTGCTTTCCTGCAACAATGGCAACCGTTTTTTGCCAATTGGCCATTGAACACGCTCCACTGGGTCATCATGGCACCAGTTGCCATCACGTGTTTGTCCCTATCCCGGGAGTTGAGTTATTTGCACGTTTTGATAAGTGGACTTAACAACCGCCGGCGGAGGATATACTCGTACAATGTGAGCGGGTGGAAGCGGCATTATGCCGAAAAAGGATGCGATTTTTTGCAGCTCCGCTCCTTTCGCTCTGCTGGTCACGATGCATTCGCGATGCATGGAAAATGCAAATTCATATTTGCTCATAAATGACAAAAATGTTTATGTTGATAGCCGTTCGGCTGTTCATGGCCTTAAAATTGAATATTGGCGTAATAAAACAGCAATCGCAATCGGAATCTCGCACAGCGACGATGCTGTTGATGTAATTGAGTTTTTACCTTGCCTTGTCATGAATTACAATCTGAGTAATTGTCCGCTTTTGTGTATTCAAAACTATAGTTTATTTTCAAAAACAACCAACTGAATCAAGAGTTTTTTGATGGCAAATAAGCGTAACTTTAGTGATAATTCAAAAACAGTCCTGCTGAGATTTTAATTATTTTTCAATTCGGTCGAAACCATAGCTTCATTTCATAATTGCTAATCGTTGGCCACAATTGCATTATAGTAATTTTAAAATTTACCCGACCCTTATCATGCGAACTGAACTCAGTTACGTTGTTTGGCTTTTAGCTAATTTGCTATTGATTTATCATATAAAATTATTTAATTGTTACTGGTAAGCCGCAGTTGCATACTAATTTGCAATCGCTGTCCTGCCGTGGATAATTTTCCTGGCGTCGGGATACCCAGGGCAGAATCGGTAATTGACTTCACCTGATATGATCTTTGGGAAGCCCTGGATTTGGACAGATGGACAGATGGGAGCTCACATATAAACATGATAATAAACGTGACCATGTTTAGGGAGCCTTAAATTATGCAACACGACAGAGTGAGATATTGAAAGACTTTTGCAACCTTATTCTGCGTTGTTGCTGTAACTGTTGCTATTTGAAAATCGCCCGAAACGTGACCAGAAATTAAATCGCAGCACATTTGGAGCATTATAAAAATTTCACAAAAATGAAAAATAAATCCCGAAAAAGAGCCAAAGCGCACACAGCGAGGGAAAAAATCACAAAATAAATAAGAATGTAAACCTGGCACACAAAAAAATGTCGTATTCGCCGGAGAAAGGGAAATTGACAGGGAACCGTGAGGAGGAGGTCTGCGGGGCGACTGCCGGACAAAAAATAGGTTTCATACATTTCATACATTTTATGCACGCGGCCTTCTCAAACAATAACTATGTAGTTGATGTCGGAGTCCGTCAAAATGAAAATATTATGTGAGAACCGCCCACATCCCGTCCCGTTCCTTCCGTATCCTTCCATCACCTTCCACAGGACACGCTCCAGCGCATAAATTGCTAATATTGTTGAGTGCGTGCACACAGCCACACATCATGGGCAAACTGCATTATATGCCGTCAAACGGTTTTGTTGTCCACCGCCTCCAAAGAAGCTTCCCCATTCCGCCTTTCTCCCAGCGCCAAACTCAAAATTGAAAAAAAAAAGCTAGCAAATATCCCAAACTAAGCTTTTTGAGGGTCGAAGAGCTATATACCCTTAATGTAACTTTAAGTATTTACCTCTAACAAATACTACTAATTAAGTCTAACTTCAGCAAATAAAAACATATCAAATCAGCTAATATTTTCTGTAAACATTTTCTGAACTACCTAAGAATTTATTTGTACTTATACAAATTAAAAGCAATTGTTTTTAAGCAGCATTGTTTATTAAGCCTTAGTATTAAGTGTACTTTCGAGAATAATTCCACAAGAAAAGCAAGTAGCTCTCAAACTCTGTTATAACAAGCAGTGAAAACTCATAAGCGCAACTTGTGTGCAGTGAAGTGTTAAATGTACTCTGCAATTTTCTTTTGTAGCAACATATTTTCTCGCTCTCCAGCGGAGCCGTAGAATTGCCTTTTCAGTGGGAGCTTGCTGCGCTAAAAAGATTGCTAAGCTTTTTTTTTTTTTGCCTTCTGTCGAAGCGACGATGGACATGCGTGGAGCCCGTGCCGCCGCATAATTAAGTTCGCGTTGAGCCTTTGAAAGCATTGCATGTATTGTACGGGGCACATAGAGAGGACTTAGGGATTGGGGGATCTTCTCTGGACTTTCCTATTGGGCATACATGGTGCGGAGTAGGGCGAAGAACTTGTACGATATCTGCAGCAGCTGAAAAAAGAGTTACATTGAAAAGTAAGCTTAGAGATTGTACAGCCGCCACATACATCCGTCATGCTGGACCTGGTGATGTTCAAAAAAATGGTGGCCTTCAGAAACGTTACATTCTGGGCCCTAGAAATAATAATAACCAAAGCTCTCTTATATCGGACATCAGCATGGACCCAGTTCTGACTATAGGTAGCCACCGACAGGCCAAAACTCTACAAAAAAGGAGTTAGTACAATCTTTTTTTCTGGCCAAAGACTTACCGCATCCGCCACCATCTGTCCATAGTGACAAATCAGGTAAACCTGACTCATGGACGAGAACAGGAACAGAAAAAGCTTGACTACCATATCCGGTGCAACCCCTACGGTCATCTGGAATCCCACAAAGCAGATGACAAACGAGGAAACCATAAAGTTGAGTAGCAGTGGAATGCCGAACACATCATTGACAACATCTGTGAGACGAAGGATCCGCTCGTGGTACCTGACCATGTCAGAAAGAAACTTGGAGTCCTTCTTCCAGTTGCCACTTAGCTTGTGGGTCATCATTCTGCTTGAGAGGAAGTCAAAGTGCATTACCAACTGGGTGGCCACGGCGCAGAAGAGGAGATCCGTGGAAATCTGACCCGCAGCTGCCGTATATCCTGCAAAATTCTGCGAGAAAAGCAGTGGGTAGTAGGACCAGCTGTCCTCCCATTTCCACGGGACGTACATCAGATATGGGAGACCTTTGCCGACGACGCGAGTTTTGAGCCACTTTTCGTAGACCAAATACTCCATGACACTGAACAAGTTGAAGGTCCAGATCAGAAGAGAGTACAGTGAAGCGTAGGTGAGGCAAATTCCCGAGCAGGTGCGCAGATATTTTGGAAGGTCGTATTTTTCTTCTTGGACTTTGCCCTTCGGAAAGATCGCCTCCAAGTCTTCCAGAATCTCATTCAAGCCCGTCTTTTTCCACCGGATGAAGAGCATCTTGCTTATTCCGACAATATCAAAGCCTACGTAGGACATTACAGTAACGGCTTCCAGAAGCTTATTCTCCTGAAACGCAGTGTAGACATAAATGCTCTCACAAATTGCCACTATGGTCAGGTTAATCACGTTAGCCAAAAAAAGGGCTCTCAGCCTGGATTTTCCGGGGTCTCCTCCTTTGTCATAAGGATCGATGCCCACGGCGGTGTAGAAAAAGTTGCTGTACTGCGTAAACTTTTCCATCTCTAAGTTATTTTAAAGTGAACCAGGAAACTGTCCCTCTCGAATGAGACGTTCGTTGAAAGCTCAGTTGCTTTATAAGCAACTATTTGCAAAATAGCAATCATTTAATTATAGATTAACGTTTTTTATTGATTTTGATGGCCAATAATTCCGTGACTAAGCAAGCGATAAATATGACATTTGCAGATTGTTACGAACTACACTTGCTTGTAATGCTTATTTGGTAAAGCACAAACACATTACCAAAGAAAAAGGACAACGTGTTTTGCGACCCTGACAGCTGCTACAATTCGAGGTAATTCCTATGGTAACTATTCATTAAAAAAAATTGTTAAAGGATTATTTGATGTACATGGTTCGGAGTAGAGCGGAAAACTTGTAGGATATCTGAAGCAGCTGCAAATATTTCAAGATTAATTAGTTGATATGCATTAGGCTTTTGGGCGAACTATAAAAAATAACAGAGCTAGTGTTTGAAACCTACAATCGACAAGCCAGTACTCTACAAAAAATGTTCAACCAATATTTTAGTACACACAAGAAAACCCTTTACTACATCGGCAATTAACTTCGCGTGGAACCTTGGTATGTATAAGTCACACAGATAGGAACTAGGGATTTAGGGATATTCTATGGACGCCCTATTGGGCATACATTGTGCGGAGCAGGGCGAAGAACTTGTACGATATCTGCAGCAGCTGAAAAAAGAGTTCTATTGAAAAATGAGCTTAGAGATTGTACAGCCGCCACATACATCCGTCATGCTGGACCTGGTGATGTTCAAAAAAATGGTGGCCTTCAGAAACGTTACATTCTGGGCCCTAGAAATAATAATAACCAAAGCTCTCTTATATCGGACATCAGCATGGACCCAGTTCTGACTATAGGTAGCCACCGACAGGCCAAAACTCTACAAAAAAGGAGTTAGTACAATCTTTTTTCTGGCCAAAGACTTACCGCATCCGCCACCATCTGTCCATAGTGACAAATCAGGTAAACCTGACTCATGGACGAGAACAGGAACAGAAAAAGCTTGACTACCATATCCGGTGCAACCCCTACGGTCATCTGGAATCCCACAAAGCAGATGACAAACGAGGAAACCATAAAGTTGAGTAGCAGTGGTACACCGAACACATCATTGACCACATCTGTGAGACGAAGGATCCGCTCGTGATACCTGACCATGTCAGAAAGAAACTTGGAGTCCTTCTTCCAGTTGCCACTTAGCTTGTGGGTCATCATTCTGCTTGAGAGGAAGTCAAAGTGCATTACCAACTGGGTGGCCACGGCGCAGAAGAGGAGATCCGTGGAAATCTGACCCGCAGCTGCCGTATATCCTGCAAAATTCTGCGAGAAAAGCAGTGGGTAGTAGGACCAGCTGTCCTCCCATTTCCACGGGACGTACATCAGATATGGGAGACCTTTGCCGACGACGCGAGTTTTAAGCCACTTTTCGTAGACCAAATACTCCATGACACTGAACAAATTGAAGGTCCAGATAAGAAGAGAGTACAGTGAAGCGTAGGTGAGGCAAATTCCCGAGCAGGTGCGCAGATATTTTGGAAGGTCGTATTTTTCTTCTTGGACTTTGCCCTTCGGAAAGATCGCCTCCAAGTCCTCCAGAATTTCGTTCAAAACCGTCTTTTTCCACTGAATGAAAAACATCTTGCTCATGCCAACAAATACAAAGCCAATGTAGGACATCACAGTTACGGCTTCCAGAAGCTTTTTCTCCTGAAACGCACTGTAAGCGTAGATGCTCTCACAAACTGCAACGATGGTGAGGTTGATCACGTTAGCCAAAAATACAATCCGGGCTCTCAGCGTAGACTGCTTAGAGTCTCCTTTTCTGACATAGGGATCTATGCCCACGGCTGTGTAAAAAAAGGTGCTGTACTGCGTAAACTTTTCCATCCCGAAGTTTTTTTTAAAGTGAACCAGATAACTGTCCTTCTGGAATGAGACTTTCATTGAAGGCTCAGTTGCTTTATAACCATTTGCAAAATAGCATTCATGCAATTTAATTATATATTAACGGCTCTTTATTGATTTTGATGGCCAATAATTCCGTGACTAAGCAAGCGATAAATATGACATTTGCAGATTATTACGAACTACACTTGCGTGTAATGCTTATTTTGTAAAGGACAAACAAACAACTAAAGGAAAAGGGTCGTGACAGCTGCAACGATTCGTGGCTATTTCTAAGGGCAACTATTAATAAAAAACAACTGCTAAGAATTACTTAATGTACATGGTTCGGAGCAGAGCGAAAAACTTGTAGGATATCTGAAGTAGCTGCAAATATTTCAAAATTAATTAGTTTATATGCGTTAGGTTAAGTCTAACTAAATCGTACGTCTGTCATGGTGGCCCTTGTTATAGTCATAAAGACTGTGGCCTTCAGATAGGTTGTCCTTTGAGGGCGAGCTATAAAGAATATAAGAGCCCGACGATAGCGTAAGTCCGCATTAATCCAGTTCTGTTTGTAGGCTGCAATCGACAAGCCAGAACTCTGCAAAAAAATTAATTTGTAAAAAATATGTTAGTTCATTCAAGGAAATCCTTTACCGCATCGGCAATTAACTGGCCGTAGTGACATATCAGATACACCTGGCTCAGCGATGAGAACAGAAACAGGAAGAGCTTAATCATGATGTCCGGCGGCACTCCCACTGTCATCTGGAAACCCACGAAGCAGATGACAAAAGTGGAGACCATGAAGTTCAGCAGAAGGGGAATTCCGAATATATCATTGAGCACATCCATCAGTCGGAGAATACGCTGGTGGTATTGGACACTTTTGACCAAAAATTGTAGGTTTTTGTTCCAGTCATTGGTCAACTCGTGGTGCTCCACCACTCTGGCCAAGTGATCGAAGTGCATGACCACCTGGGTGGCCACTGCGCAGAGCAGGAGATCCGTGGCGATCTGTCCGGATGCCGAGGTGTGTCCTGCGAGGTTCTGGAAGACAAGCAGCAGGTAGTACGACCAGGTGGTCTCCCAGTTCCAGGTAAAGTACATCGGATATGGCAGCGTTTGACCAACCACTCGGATCTTGAGCCACTTCTCGTAGACGAGGTACTGCATGATGCTAAACAGGTTGAAGGTCCAAATGAGCACCGAGTAGAGGAGCGCGTAGGTAATACTGATCCGGGAACACGATCGAAGGTAGCTACTCAGACGATAGTCCTCCTCCTGAGCCTTCCCCTTTGGATATATCTGCTCAAGTTCCTGGACCATATCGCTGAGAACTGGCTTCTTCGACCAGATGAAGAACATCTTGCTCATGCCGACAAACACGAATCCGATGTAGGACAGCACGGTCACGGCATCAATAAACTTTCCACTGGAAACAGCCACTCCCAGATAGACAAACTCCCCGAGAACAATGACACTCAAGTTTATCACGTTGGCCCAGAAAAGAACTGTTGACCACAGACCGATTTTCTTGGGCCGAGAAGCCATTGTATACGGTTCAATGCCCACGGATGTGTAAAAGAAAACTGCGTACTTCATAAACTTCATTTTCCGACGTTCGACTAATCGAATGAGTTTTCTGGGAGCTCTTTTATAGACTTTTTTTAAGGGACCCGCAGTATTTGTTATGCCAAGTAATGACATAGTTATAGAACTGTTTACGGTTATTGTATGGATTTGTGTTTATAATGCGTCTAATTGAGGGCTTCGTTTGCAGCTTAATTATTGATTTCGCTTACATAAACTGCGGATAATTGTTATGCCTAGGCAAACGCAATCACGATTCCCACCCGAGCTCCAAGCTTCCTCATCCCCGATCCCCACATCCTTTTTAGCTTGTCTGGGCAACACAATAAATCACTTGGAGATTGAATCCGACGGAAAGCGATTGAAACGTTTGAATAAATGCAATTCGAACCAGCGTATCGAACCCAACTCCAATCCGTAGTAAGCGAAGTCTTCTTCGCTCGCACTTGAAATAAATTAAATCCGTTCAGTTTTCAACAATTCAGCTTAGTTTGCTTGGCTTTAAGAGAATGAATTACACCCGCAGAGCACGTTAGCCCAATTATACAGTGCGGTCTGAGTAAAATAACTGCAGTGAAGCCATTAACCCATCTTCATGTCCGATTTTTCCAAGTTTTCGATGGTTAGCCAAAAGGTAACCCCTTACTGCACCTTCGGAACCTATAACTTTTGCAATTTTCAACCGATTTCAAAGTGGCATACCTCTAAACGTTTGTAATCGGATCCTTGATAAAACTGCATTCAAAATGTTCCATCTTCAAATGGTTGATTTTTTAATCCGAATTTAAAATACTTTACAAAATTTGTGGTTAAATTCCTAAAAACATTGTGTTTTAATATAATGTTGATGGACCTAAAAGTTTTATCTGGCTTCTCTTCAAATGAAACTCTAATTCCACTCGCTTTACTGTATGCAGAAGTATGCCCGATTTGATACTGTTTCTGTCCATGTGCGTTGCCCTACAAAACTACGCCAAGCAAATGCAAACAGAGCGATTACAAGTGAAAAACAGGCGGTTCGGGGTGCTATGTGGTACCACAACTGGCCAAAAGAGATTTTTGGGCCAAATTGAAGGACAAAAGCCCTGAAATGTTGCTTCCATCGCGGACAGCGAATCGCAGTGCTAAAAGCGAACGAAGCCGGTCAAAAGCAAACGAACGAATTTTCCATTTTTGCCATTTATCACGCATGGAAATGGAAGCGTGGGCGGAAAAAGTGGGTGGCTGGGCGGATCGGACGAGAACAACCTGGAACTTGAAATACAATTAAAGCTTTGGGACCCACTGACCGGTCGGGCGCAAAAAACTTTTCATGTCTCAAGTCTCGGATCTCAGGTGAAGAGCCATGTAAGGTAACAAGGTTTGCGGCGGCCATTCCCACCTTCCACCCCCAATTCATCCACGAACCGGCGGCAAGCCAAAGTTATTGTATGCACTCATACTCCAAAGTTTACCCGGACTCCCAGGATGAAAATCGGTAAGTGTGGGTATGTGGACAGCGCAAACTTCGGGGAAAAGTTTTATGAGCAGCAAACTAATTTCGTTTGACTTCGCTTCGGGGATATTGCACCTTGGCTGGGACGACGGGAATTGATTTTGGTCCTGTTTACGGTGCTGTTGTTGCTCCCAAGTAGATAAATTTGCATACGCAAACCAGGAAGGGAATTCCTTCTAAAAATACCACAAAAATCTTGATCACCTATTGAGTTTTCCTAATAACTGGTAATAACCAATTCGATGTTATGAGGAAATCATTATACCTTATGCCAGAGCTTAAACACATGGTTAAGATATTAAAGTTCAAGAAGAAATGAAGAAATGAAGTCACTTGGCTAGGAATATTGACTCTTATGCATAAGTATTCGATAATAGGAAAAATGAAGAGAAACTCGAACCTAATCCAATGCTAATTTTACATTTTGCAACCACTTCCGAACGACAAGTAACTCGGTGGCATTGTGGCAATTGTCTCTCGGTTTGCTTGGCAGTGTGACATCTGACGCATTTAACATGTGTGACTTTGCCCCAAGAAAACAAAGCCTGGAATTGGGGTTTTGGGAAAATGTCTGCTTTGGCACTCGTTCGTTAGCAGAAGCCGCAAAATGTATATTTTGCAGTGGAGTCGCCACATTTTCGGTTGGAAAAGTGGACAACGGGTGGGGTCACCATTATCGGTTTTGAGTCTGACTCTTTGGTCAACGTCTGCCCACAGCTATTGATGACTCCGACGCCTTTGTTCGGACCAGGCCAAAATACCAACTCTCGGTTAACCAACTTGTGATCGGGGAAAGGAAAATAAACGAATGGAAGCAATTAATAAAATAACAACTTTGTGCAAAATTAATTGTGTATTATGCAAAAGGCTTGCTAATGGCAGGATATGCATCAACGTACGCTGCTGGTCCCCATGAAATATTACAGTGACGACAATGTCTCCTCCAGCCGTAGATCCTTCCCCCGATTCCCCGATTCCCCGACTCCCCGATTGCGTTGTTTCTGTAATGGCCGTGCGCACCGATGAGCAAATGAACAATTTATTACCGCTTAATTGAACACATTTGGACGCAACCGCACACATAGAGGGCCTAAACAAATGGCCGCATGCAGGCGGCATCCTGAGCAGGACTCCGCATTAAGCCGTGCCGTAGGGGTTTGGGTTTGGGTTCGGGCTGGGAGATTGAGTTCGGGCTTGCTGGTCCACAAGCCCAGGATAAATGAGCCCAAGACAAGTCTATAAATGCCGGAGCGTTTCGGCAGGCGGAGAAGTAGAAGGAGTGTTGTGTGGTCAAGCAACTCGATGAAGCAACCCAAACCCAAACCCAAACTGAATCCCAGGCCGGTTGAGGAATCGGAAAATCCGTTCCTTGTAGCCCGCTGCATATTAAACGCACGGCCCGCTGGACAAATTGATTCCTAAGTGGCTGCCGGATTGACAGCTCACAAGCTCCTTGTGTGCGAGAGTGTGCGGGTGTGCGTGTGCCCGCTGGCAATCTCCACAATTATCCTGCAATCGACCTGCAACCTGCAAGCCGGTCTGCAGCCCAGGTTAATTGCCAATTGAACCCAAAGAAAGCGGGTCAACTTTAGATTAGCAGCAACAAAAGGACCTCCTTGCCGTTTAAGTGCTTACTTAGCGACACGTCAGAAACAAGGATTTATTTCGGGATAACGGGCACCCCCGTAAACACCTCGAGCAAATTAAGTGAGTGCCAGGTCCTGACAGAGTCAAGTATATTTGATATACACGGCGGCACTCCACCCCCGAAAAAACAGCACTCTGTTTAAGCCCAGGCAAGAACAGGCGAATCACACAAAGCAGCCGCAATTTCGCTAAGCATTTGAGCGGGAGACGGCAAAAGTGAAGCTACGCACCGACCACAAAAGAGGAAAGGATCTGAGCAGGACTCCCCCATCCCCCATCACCCATCAGCCGTCTGTTTGGGCCTTATGGTGAATGAACTACTTAAGCGCTTTGGCTTTTCAAAATAAGCCGTGCCACAGGTAAATGGCAAGAGCAACAGCGCCGGAGTAGGAGCAGCCACAAACAATAACGAAATATTTTGTATATCCGCGGTGCCGTGTCAACCGAAACCAAAGAGCTTCCCTACACTTAGAGAAAAAAATTAATTAGCAAAACAAAGCACATACTTTTAGGTCTGTATTTAGCCCTATAAAAAAGAGTTAAGTACTGCTTATAAATAATTTTGTTGTTTTAAAAATCTTAAATGTAGAAAATAGTTTAAACATTTATTAATCAACTATGTTTTTATAATATGTATATAAATTATTTCATCATTTATTTCTTTATATTACGGCATAAATGGTATCCTTTTCTCCTAGTGCATGCGTAAATGAAAAGAAGAAGGAGCATAAGGACACCGAAAGTGGAAGTGGAACAAGGACTCAACCAGCGCAGATACACTTTATGAACTACAACCGAAATCCAATTGATTGCACAGGCACAGAGTCTTTGGCAGAGTCTCCTTGCTGCTCGAACGGCAAACAATTTGGCAGCCCAAGTGCTTTTGGTAGTCAGGCAGCTGAGTTGGTTGTGGCACGAGTTGTGGCCTCAGAGGTCGCCACAGGATTCGCAAATGAAAATTTGAGCCACGCGTGGGCGCCAACGTAGGAAAGCGAAACCTTCGGCTGGGCGGGATAATTTGCAGCCAATTAAATTGCGCTTTAGACAGAAAATAATTTTATAAGTTAGTAGCTGTGTAATTTAATGGAGCAATTATGAAAATAATCAACTTGTTTCTATGTAAAAATAATTCCTATATAATATCTTATATTAAGTTAACAAATCGTTAATATAATTTATTTTTACAATAACAAATTGATTTTACTAAATTGAAGACCAATCAATTTAAACTTGCGCCCATTTGCAGCGGACGAAAGCTGGTTACTACGGCACTTGGTGCCATATGTGCGTCGGTCTATCGATATTTCGATGGGTGAACGTGCGCTGCCGATAGTCAGCAGTTCTCTTATTATTGTTTACAAAACGCGCAATTGTCGTCAAAACTAAGCAGATAAAAAAGTGATAAAAGTCGAGCAGCGACTGGGCAAATGCTGGCGAAGATCTGTTAAAAGTCGCAGCATTCGCTGCTAAATGGCAGCGGACTCAGAAAGTGCTCTCCTCACCGCCCAACCACTTGTTGTTGTTGGACTTTGCCGCCGCCCATATAAAAACATCCATTATCCAGCTCCATTTTATATATAATCAGCCGATTTCATACGACGCTGAGTAGAAGGGGCTTGAAACACACTCATATCACAATCTGGAACTCCAGTCACTTTGCTGTCACTTACTGTCAACTTCTCAATCCGGAACTGGAAAACTTGTAACTCTATCAATCTCAGTCCTGAACAAAAATCAAGCAGAATTTTGAACAACCCAAGAACACTCGAATTAAGTCATCAGTTTATTGCCCACCTTTAAGTGCCCGAGCAGTTCAAACGTAAGTACCTCCCCGACAACCGATAATGCAGATTGGCTTGCGGGTTTTCCACTACCGGGTATTAGTCGTAGTACTCCGAAAGATTGTGCAAAGATCTCGACGTGACCCCTCGGTCAATGACTTGGCTAAAACCATATTTCTCATGCAAATCAGGTTGAGAGATAACGGGGTAACTCGCCAACACTTCAGAGCAGGTGGTTCGATTTTGAGGGTACTTCAAAAAATAGTTTCATTGGCTGACTGTAATCTAAAGTGGCTTAGGTTAAGGTTAATCTTAATCATAAATACTATCAAAAGATTTCCCAATAGTTGCTAATGTTGAACAAACCAAAAAGAGAGCATAATCGTATGTAAACTGAACGTCAAATAGTAATTTTTGATTTGAGACAATGCTGAATATAATTACATATGTGAGCTTGGTGTCAACTTTTTTAATCATATATTATAGTAAATTCATTTCAAAGTGTTCAAGGGTATTTCTATCTCTCCAAAAACCAATCCTACCCTTTTATGTATAACCTTTGTACTTGCCAATGGCAAATCCCCCGCAGTGGCTAATCTGGCATGTATCTTATCGACAGACAGCAGTAAATAATCGCAGATACTCGCAAAACAGCTGTAATCCACAAGTCTAAACCAACTTTCCACTGGTTGCCTTGGGGAAAAAGTCAGTTCTGGCCTGGCCAGCAGCAGGTGCAGTCCGCCCTCAGCAATTAAAAAATAATAAGCCAGTACCATAAACCAAAGCAAATTTTTTGGCAGAATTTCAAGTTCAATAGAACAACCGATAGCGTCGAAAGAATAATAATAATACTTTGTTATAGCCCCAAGATAAGATTAAAGGTTAAAAAACGGACCCATCCACCCCATACGTGACTCATAACTTAAATGCATGTACTTGATTAGAATAAATTTTAAATTTTTGTTAAACGCATGGCTGTAATCATAAAACCATAACAAGATATCAAACATTTCTTATCAAAAGACAATATTATCAAATAAACGGTGATAAAAATGGTTTGAAGTGTCATACATATGAAAATGCAAAACAAAGATAATAATTGTAGACATGCCAGTTACATTGTTTAGATATCTTTACAAATTGTATTTGAAACTACATTATTTGACTTAATTGCAGATTGACTTTTCACAATGACGGGTCAGAGCAAGCTGATCAATCCGCTGTGCATCACCTGCAAGGAGTTCCAGCATCCATGGACAGACCACTGTGTCAGCGCCACAGCCGGAATCCTGCTCTCGGCCACGCCCTACTGCCTGCGGGTCTACACAGTGGTCTACGCCCTCTCCCTGCTGATGCGTCACCGCATTCCAAGCCGCGAGGATCTGCGCAGGACTCTGTTGGGAATCATTCAGTCCACGGCCTTCCTGGTGACCAATGCCTACACCTTCATCCTGTACAACTGCGCACTGCGACACATTTTGGGCAGCTATCACTTCTCCACGGTGGCCTTTGTACCGTGCTTCTTTGCTTCGTTTTCGGCCATTCTGGTGGAGCGCCCTGCACGTCGACCTTTGCTCACTCTCTATGTGGCCAATGTAGCTACAGAAACGCTGTGGAAGATGGCCGAGGCCAGGGGCTGGGTTCGCTCCATTCCGAATGGACAGACCATCATCTTCGGGCTGAGCATGGCGGCGCTGCTGTACCTCTACAGAACGGACGCCTGCAAAGACTCCATCTTCAACATTCTCCGCATCTTCGTGGGCAAGGAGGAGGCGGGACCGGTTTCCAAGTCAGGTCCAGTGGTGCCCGGTGAACAACCAACTCCATCGCGCCGACGTCCAACGGTCAGCTTTTCCTCCATCTCCGACTGGGTGCGCGTCTATAGCAACCTGATCCGCGCCAAGCACGACAGCTGCCGGCACCCACAGAGCTGCTTAAGTTACTCCCTCATCGGAGGCATTAAGCCCTTCGTGGGCGGAGTAGCACTGCAGGTGGCCCTCAAAGTTGTGATGAACGTGAAAAAGATCACCTCTGGAAAGATGCCTTGGAAAAAGCTGGTCCTCAACCGCGGCACTCTGCAGCTGGGCATTTTCATGGGCAGCTTCTCTTTTCTTTATAAGGTAAGAATTTATTCATTTATTTTTTTTTAAATGGTAACCATTTTTCATTCTTACAGTCCATGTCCTGCCTTCTTCGGCACAGTTTCAACGGGGATGATGCCAGGTTTGCCATTCCTGCCGCATTGGTAGCCTCTGTGACCTTCACTCAGTATCCAGACAACACAGTGGCCTTGTATGTCATGTGGAAAGCACTTCAGGTTAGCAAGTTGTATTTAAAGACATACGAGCTTATTTAACCCCCTTGTAATAACTCTTTTTAGATACTTTGCATAAAAGGACAAGAGAGAGGCATACTACCACACATCCCCAACTTCATGCTGTTCCTGTACTCCTTCTTCACGGCGGTGCTCTTCCACGCGGGAATCCTGGAGCCCAAGAGCCTTCGCCCCAGCTACTACAAGTTTCTGCAGGCCATCTCGGGCGATCGGTGAGCAAAGTTCGCACACGCTGCGTAAGCAGCTTACTAACGATACCTTATCTTTGGCAGTCTGAGCAGGTTTAATCTGGGCGCCTTCGATGTGTTTGGGCTGAACAGTCAGCAACAGGCGTGGGATACCATCAAAGCTCTGAAAATTGTGGAGAAAGCCCCGCTGCCCGCCTTCTCCTTCGCCTCCTGAACCGTTTCCAATCGACCTCTCTGCTGTCGACTTTGCCAAAGGCTCCACTATATCTCTATATATCCGCGCTCTGTAGCGAGTTGTATATACTTCAAGAGTCTCCCGCGCTCAAAGAGCGCCCAACGATTACTAATTTAAGCAAGAACGGGTGGATTGTAAGCTATGTTGACTTTTTTTATTTCTTGGTATCAATAAAACTTTACCAAAAATAATTTAATACAATTAAATACAAAGGCATTGGGTTAAAGCATGTTCGGGATTTTCTTCCTGCAGTGTTTACCAAAGTTGGAACCACCTATATTCTTTTAAAAGCTTTATTCTTTCGGACTAAATCTTAAGAGAACTAAACAAGTAATCACCAAAAAAATGTTGCACACCTTTTTTAAAGAGAGCTTTCCAAAATTTGATAGGAACCCCAAACGTAAACAAACGATTAAAAGCGATAAGCCGATATATGTATATTCGGAAGTATTAGCAAAGTTCTTGGCCGGCAGTCAGTAGAGTTTAATGCCTGCTCAGGTGCAAACGTATGGCGGTATTCTTTCTTGCCGGATAAGTGCTTATCCTAAGAATGATTCCACGAAAAACAACTGGACACCGCATGAATTGATAGCAAATGAGTTTGAGATTAATAAGGTGAGTAATAGTTATGGGTTTGCATTTGAATAATCTAAACCACCGCAGACCAGCTGTAAACGAAGTAAAAGATTAAGTGATTGAGTGGAATTTTATCACCTGTCTGCATTCGATAAGAGCAATTTCCTAGTTGAAAAGTATTTAAAGTGGACTATGGCTGCCCAGAGTAAGCTCGCTGAGATCGCCTTCAATTGCAGCTGTCAGGAGTACATTCATCCATGGACATCAAGCTGCGCATGCGGGACGGCAGGGATGTTATTATCCTTGATCCCTGCTACCCTGCGCACCTACAGTGTTGTCTATTTGGTAAGTAAATTAATATTTTATATTTTATGGGTAACAATTTACATTATTTTACTTTCGACAGTTTGCCCTACTTATCCGTATGCGGATTCCATCACTTAAAGATCTTAGGCGCACTGCAGCCGGCATTCTACAGTCGACAGCTTTCCTGTCCTTGAATGGCAGCCTCTTCGTATTTGCCATTTGCATGGTACGCAAACTTCTGGGAGGCTTCTACTTCGCAACAGCTGCCTGGTTGCCATCGCTCTTGGTCAGCTCCATTTGCTTGGCAGTCGAGCGACCCGAGAGACGAGCTCCGCTGACCTTGTATGTGGCCAATGTGGGCATCGAATCCCTGTGGAAGATGATGGAGTCACGGGGCTGGGTGCGGTCCATCCCCAACGGACAGGTGCTCATCATGGGCCTCAGTGTCACCGCCTTGATGTATTTATATCGGGCAGGACTTCATAAGACGGTGGTCAAGGATTCTACCTTCAAGGCTTTGGGTGTGATCGTGGGTAAGGAGGAGGAGGGTCCTCTTAAAACTCCAGCGGTTAACACCACGCAAAGACCCCGCTTAGGAAGACTTAACTTCCTCTGTATTACTACGCACCTCAAGATCTATGATCTTCTGCTATCCTACAGTCATCCTAGTTGTCCACACTCGATGGGCTGTGCTCCATACGCGCTCCTAGGTGGCCTAAAACCTTTCCTGGGCGGCGTGGGACTTCAGGTTGGAATCAAACTGCTGCTGAACATTACCAAGATCTTCCAGTTCAAGATGCAGTGGCGCAAGCAGATCTTCAATAAGGGATCTCTGCAACTAGGACTTGCACTTGGTATTTTTTCATTGCTTTTCAAGGTAAACAACAATCAATTCTAATTGTTTTCAATATTTATTTATAAACTATTGCATTTCAGTCAACCTCCTGCGGTTTGCGGCACTCTTTTGGACATGACAAGGCTCTCTTCGCCATTCCGGCTGGCTTGATAGGATCAATTGGGCTGCTGCACTTCCCCAACACCACGGTGTCTTTATATCTGATGTTGAAATCCCTTCAACTGCTGTACAACTGGGGAGTCTCAGCGGAAAAGGTGCCCGAGATGCCAGGCTTATCCCTGATCTTGTACGGATTTTTTACGGCCGTGCTCTGCCATGCGACCGTTCTGGAGCCTCGATCCATGCGGCCCAGCTACTACAAGTTCATCCAGAACATTTCGGGAGGTCGTCTCAGCAGGTACAATATGAAGTCCTTTGAGGCTTTTGGAGTAAACAGCCAGGATCAGGCTAATCACGTAATTAAGAAGCTGGGAATTGTCATGAAGTCACCTAACCCATTATTTGCTTTGGCTGTTTAAACTTTGTTTTCCTTCTTAACTTCAAAATAAAAACATAAGAAAATAAAGTATATGTTTTGTTATTTCCTGTCTTTCATATTGCAACCAAGTATAGCGTCTTAAGAGAAGCATTAAGAGATGTTTAGCTCCAGAAAATAACACGCCGGGTTGCTCTTATAAACTGATAAGAAATCAACCAGCTGGAGGTGACGCAGCGTCAACAAACCGATCGCCATTGAGCAAGTTAGCCAACTTTCAGCTCGCGTGTATGCGATAAGTGCCTTCCAATCCGACGCACTCCAGCCGAACCACTTGGGGAATTTGCGGGAGTGGGCCGAATAGCTGATTACGGCGGTATGGAGCTCCCAAAGTGCGTCTACACGCGGACCTTAACTGGCCAAACCGTCGATGGCTAACGGCCATCAGTTGTATTTGATGGCCGACCAGGCCAGAACGTCATTTCCTCGCAAAAGAAAACAGTTAGGCCAAATTTAAAATTACTAAAATATAGCATTGGTGAGCATACTTAACAAGAAACAATTTCTTATCAATTTGCCATTATTTGAAGTGTATAATTTTATCTTTTCCTATAAGCAATTTAATCCCCTGGTGGAACCAATTGGATAACCAGCTGCAGCTGATTCAAGACATGCCCAGAGAATTTTACTGGGAAAAGAGGAACTTGGAAAACCGAAAAGACCTTCACGTCTATTAAATTCTCACAAATCCAGGAAGTTGATTTAAGACAGAGTATTTCGTTCACACTCGGACCTTAGGCGATAAGCGCCTTCTTGATAAGCTTTATCATCTTGAGCCAATTCGATTATCGAACCCCTCGGAGCATTAGCCAATATTCAAAGTGGATCATGGCGGCCCAAAGTAAGCTGGCTGATGTGGCCTTCCATGCCACCTGCTACGAGTACAACCACCCATGGACCTCGAGCTGTGCCTGTGCTGCAGCGGGCATGTTACTCGCCGAGTTTCCTTTCAGCCTGCGCACCTACACCACTGTTTACTTGGTGAGTTAATGGGGTAATATTAGGCCTCAAGTACTTAGAAATCCCCCACGCTTCAAGTGCGTTGTATATCGCAGAAGGGGTGATATGAAGGTTTCAAGTACAAAGGTCATATTCTAAATAACAGTTACTTTTTAAATTAGCACTTCCAAAATATTGATAAATATTGTGACTTATGGAAGCACAATTACGAAGCAGTTTATTTTATTTCAATTTCAAAAGCATAACTCAAAGATCATCATTAATGTTTCTTTGTTATCTTACAGTTGGCCCTCGTAATGCGAGGACGCATTCCCTCACTCAAGGACCTCGGACGCACTGTCACCGGAATCCTTCAGTCAACAGCTTTCCTCACGATGAATGGATCCCTATTTGTGTTCTGCGTCTGCTTACTGCGCCAGATGCTCGGCGGATTCTACTTCGGCACAGTGGCCTGGTTGCCCACGTTCCTCTCCAGCGTCGCTTGCCTCGCCTTCGAGCGTCCCGAGAGAAGAGCTCCACTGGCCTTGTATGTGGCCAATGTTGGCATCGAAACGCTGTGGAAGATGATGGAGTCCCGGGGCTGGGTGCGATCCATTCCCAACGGGCAGGTGCTCATCATGGGCCTCAGTGTCACTGCCCTGATGTATTTATACAGAGTTGGACTTCACAAAACCGTGGCCAAGGACCCGACATTCAAGGCATTGAGTCTGGTTCTGGGCAAGGAGGAGGAGGGTCCTCTAAAGACCCCGGTGGTGACCACATCGCAAAGTTCCCGGCAGGCTCCACTCAACTTCCGTTGCATATCCTCATACCTGCAGCTCTACGATCGACTCCTGAAGGCCAAACATCCCAGTTGTCCTCACAAACGAGGTTGTGCCCGATACGCTCTCCTCGGAGGACTGAAACCCTTCGCAGGAGGAGTTGGTTTATCAGTGGGTCTCAAGCTGCTGCTCAACATTCCCAAGATCTTCCAGTTCAAAATGCAGTGGCGCAAACAGATCTTTAACCAGGGATCCCTTCAGTTGGGTCTGGCTTTGGGCATCTTCTCGTTCCTTTTCAAGGTTGGTTAAACCTAAATCTACGCTTTCATTAATTAAGAGCTATTGTTCATTATTTTTGCAAAACCAATATCTTATCACTTCCTATTCATTTTGCAGACAACTTCCTGCGGTCTGCGCCACACCCTTGGATATGACAATGCTCTCTTCGCAATTCCGGCTGGTTTGCTCGGATCGATTGGCTTCCTGCGATTCCCCAACACCACGGTGGCGTGTTACCTGATGTGGAAGTCCTTGCACCTCCTCTACAATTGGGGCATTTCCGAGGGCAAAGTCCCCGAAGTGCCAAACTTTGCGATGCTCATGTATGGATTCTTCACGGCAGTCCTTTTCCACTCGGCGATCCTGGAAGCCCGATCCCTGCGTCCCAGTTACTACAAGTTCCTGATGGGCATCTCGGGCAACCGCATCAGCCGCTTCAATGTGAAGCCCTTCGAGGCTTACGGACTCAAGAGCCAGGACCAGATCAACTTTGTGATCAAGAAGCTGGGCATCGACATGACCTCTCCCTTTCCCAATTTCGCCCTGACTGTGTAGATGGTTTTTCCCACCGCACACACTGTATAATAAAACAAATAGCCAAATACAATAAATGTGTAACACAACGATGCAGCAAAACTTTAAATTAAATGCGCGACGCAGAATGGCCATTAAGGACTTTTAAGTGAGGAGCCGCAGAGTGGGCCAACATCAATCACAGAGTCAACAAGCCGCTGGTCCCCCTCACCCCCCTTAGCCTCCTCGAAAAAACCCTCTCAACCCCTGAGCCACTGGCCTCACCGCCGTGACAACTCTAGACGGCGGCTCCGCGATGCTCAATTATTTACATTTATATGTCATATAAATTTATTGCCCACCATAACTCAGTCCGACCGAGCCGGCGAACTGGCTGAGCGGAGTTGAGCTGAGACCAAGTGGAGATACCCGAAATGCAGCTACAAATTCACTAAAATAAAAATAATAATAAAACACAAAGGAAATGAATAAAGGAGAGTGTGTGGTTCAATAACGTCGAAGGTAGAGATACCCTAACTATTATTGAAGCAAATCTTGCATTCTTATTACAGATAATTCGGTAAAGTAACTTCTTCAAAAGTACATTTTTAAGTTGCTAATATATAGCTTATTTATATCGGGAACAATCTAAAACTTTGATGGGCAATCATTTTTATCTCCAAAGTATTTCCTTCCTCTAAGCACTGCATTCTTTACAGGAAAATTTCACAGTACTCAATGAGCAGCGTATAATAAGGAGTAGCGGTCCTTGGCCCCCTCCTAATGATCCTTTTGGCCAGCTTTGGGAAGGGAACCTAAACTGGCAGTGGAACCGAATCCAAGGCAGGCTTAACAAATGAATTATAGGCTCGGGTAAATTTAATGTGCCACTTAGTTATCGGCGGAGGATGGGCGGAGGACCCGGCCTTTATTTTTATGCGAATCATAATAAGGCACGCCGGCTAAGCGACTTCCTTCCGCTCCGCAGCCTGACCCGCCGCTGTTTGTCTTTGGTGATTTTCATTTTAAAATTGAGTTGAAAATAATGAAAATGCAAATTCGCCGACCAGCTGCTGTTGGACACGCTCCTTGGGTGGGAAAGTCCTGCAATTGCAGGCTGCTTGGCATTTATGAAATTTATATGCATGTCAGTGGGCTTCAGTCTTTTTTAGGGAGGGGAAGCGGGAAATGCGGGGTTTCTGGCCCAGTCAACAGCATGGAAAATACAAATGAAGCCCGTGACAAATCTCATTAATCACAGCGCCGGAAAAGGGGCGGATTAGGGGGCGTGGCTCCGCCTGAGTGGGTGCAGCTGTTGGCGCCTTGAAATCTGGGATTATCAGCTTAGCAGTTGCAGTTGTTTCTGTTGTTTCTCGCAGCTCCTACTTGTTGTTACTCCTTGGGCGCTCCGGCGGAGATGAAGCTGCAAAAAGTGCATATAAATTGAATATTATAAATTTTCTTATTTTGCAACTGCTGCTTTCACTTAGCTGCTGCTTTTACTGGTGGTGCTATTGCTGCTGCCAAGTTGTAACTTCATTTAAGTCAATCGCTCTTTTCTGTGGCACACAAATTGTAAACAAGGGAATTATGCAAATGAATAAACTCCGCCCCAGCGTAATGAAATATTATTGGAGCCGATGCCTTGAAGCTCGCTGGGCAAATCGAACGGAAAATGAACTTTCAACTGTCAAAAAAGGCGAAATGGAGAAGCGGAGAGGACAAAAAGCAGTGCCATCCGCAAGCAAGGAACTTTTCACTACTTGGCCAAGACTTTCTACTTGCCATAAATTTCGTTTTATATTTCTATGAACTGACAAGGTATGTCAACGCAAGATAAGCAACCCCAAGCTGTCCGAATACTGCCCCAAATAAATGACACTTTTTTGTAAGTCCGTAGAAGAGATGAATTTTTAATTAAAACTTGCAGTCGTGTTGTGCCAAGATTGAATGCGAGTTTCTACAGCGCTCTACAACATACATATACATAATAAATAAATGCAATTGTTTTACCTTGGAATGGACTAACCCTATTATACTTTTAAATAAAGTATTTTGGAAATCCCTTTCCTTTCTAGGTTTAGCTCGACTAAATTCTTGTTTCGTTCTTTTACAATCTTAAATTGCTTGCCTGCATTATCTGTTTGCGATTAAGGTTGTTTTCCTTTCTTTCAGTTACCTCTACAAATTGTAGCCATGAACTTTTTAGGTCGCAAAAAGAAACCAGTACAAATGTTGAGTTGTTTACATGTCTTTAACTCGCGGTGCATATACAAAATATATATTTCATTTTTATTTGCCTGCTTACTCTTTGTTTTACTCATATCGCTACTGTTTGCCTACTTACTTATAAACCTCATAAAAAAAGGAATTTTTTTCATATCTGATATGGTAGTCGTTTAATTAATTACAAATCTTATAGAAAACTTTAAAATATTACGTTAAAAATGCTTAAAACAATAACAGGTTCATAGTATACTTTTGTCTTCAGGTTTTTAGTTAGGTATAATACATTACAAACAATCAGTGTTTTTTTTTCTACATAGTTTATGGTTAAATGTGTAGTTGACTTAACTTATAGTTACTGAAGAGATCACATTTCCCTTACATCTTAGAATGCGAACATTCGTATGCTGATGGCCCCAAAAGTGCACTCGCCCTCGATGTCCCGTTCCTCGTCATCGATCTCTCTCAGTCTCACGAGGTTCAGGGGAACGAAAACCCGCAGGAACTCCAGGGCTGCATTGATCAGACCCAGTTGGAGCCAAATCAGGCAAAGCCAGAAGCTGGTACCACCGCCAAAGGGAGCCGTCATGTCGCAGTCAAGTTTGTAGACCTACTGAGTGGGATCGATGGGATCAGGCACGCGGTGGACCCCTCTCAACCCCGTCAAAAACGTGCCGCCGGTGGGAGATAAGGGTACAAAACAATGCCACCTCCGACCGATAGCACAACCGTTATCTTTTGAGTCTACACACGAATGGCAACAATGTTGCGGTGCTTTTGCAGCTGTGTTGCTGGGGATTCCACTCGAACTGCTCCATCGAACCTCTGCGGCAGCGTTCCAAGTTCGTTCGTTTCGAGGGGGGCACTTCGGCTAACTGCAATTTCCGCCGCCCTCGTGAACCTTCGGGTTTAGAGCTCGTGTGTGGCTCGCAACAGGATGCGCATTGTGCGAGGACACATGTGGCCCAGCTCCACGCGTCCCCCGCTCCGTGAAATTCGCATTGCCATTCGTTCCGCTACTAACTGGGTTAGTGGTACAAGTTCAGTTTGACGCATTCGCCTTATCGATGCTGTTCGCTGTTCCGCTACCGCGCGTTCCGCTCACTCGGCATTCGGCAGAGACATGTGCATCGCGATGGCGGCGATGGCCTTATCCTTCTGCCAGGCCAAATGCGAACTAACTGAATAACCAGCGCCCGCTTTGCCTCAAAGGAAACCGACTTCATCAGCGAAGCGACTCCTTATCCCGCTCTTTCGCGCTTCATTGCACACTGCAGCCGCCATTTTCCCGGCACATCCTTAATTGAAACTACATCGTTTACCTACTTGTAAGCCATCCTATCTGCAGCTGCTCCGCAGCGGTCTTTGTCCCAATCTCTTTGCCTTTCGGGGCCTTTGTTTGTTCTCCCCCGACATATAGCCAGCGTTATCCTGCGCGGCGGAGAGCGGTGTGTGGAATGCATCATTTGGCGTTGACAGGGGGCACTCCCATCGCTTATTGGCAAAGCCTGGATCCCGGGATCCCGGGATCCATCTCAGCGACGCCTTTGTTCTGTTCCGTTCGGTTCAGCTCCTTCCACCCGCTTTTACTGCCGAAAACGCTTCCTTTGTTATGCCAGCCGCTCGACGACAATTGCACTTGCTGATTGCCCTCATTTCAGACTTGAAATAATATTAAAAACTTTTACTCCGTCTCGCCGCCGTACTGCCGTCTATTCGTCTCCTTCTTCAACCATCTTCCCTCACTCTCTCTGATTCTCTTTCTCCCTCTCTTTGGGGGTTCTTTGTCTTTGGCTTCTCCGCCTGTGCCGCTTGCCGCTTGCCGCCTGCCGCCTGCCGCCTGCTGCTTGTTGCAACTGCAGTCGCATGTTGCAGCCGACTCGAGGCCCTGTCTCTATATCTATCCCTATATCTCCATCGTCGGCTTTGATTCCCTAGCTTGTTCTAGTTCTTGTTCTCGTCCTTCTTTTATTTACCACATAAATCACATGCCGGCAGGGACGGAGAGACATTGCTATATCTATCTACTTAAGGTTTTCACTGCCCGACTAGCAGCACTTCCTTCGTCGACACTGGGAGAAATTAACAAAAGTTTTAAAGTAACGAGTAACATGTATAATAGGTGCTAATTAATATGCATACTGCAGTTAGCAAAAAATGATTATTTGCATGTTGAAACAATAGTCATTTGTATGCGTTTTTATGGGACTTTATATCAGACCTTGGGCTATAAATTTAAAAATCAACATGCTGTTAACGTAAAAGATTTTTTGTAAGAGTTCCCTTTCAGCATACTAAATAATTGAAATCATTTTGAACATATTATGCAACCTTTTTTGTTGTTAATTGGATTAAAGGTGTGCACAAAAAAGGGAAATATTTTTATAAACATAATCCAAACGGCTTTTGTAATTTGTATAATTGAGCACCTTTCTCCAGGCCGCATGTCCTTTCTCCGCAGTGCACTTTTTGCCCTTCTTTCTTCTCAGCTGGCGCTGCTTATCTCCTGGTCGCCTTCGTCCTGGTCTCACTGTGGCCGAGTGCTTTCTGGATTGTTAGTTGCTATTTTTACGATTGCCCATTGTCTGGCCGGAGCACCAAGTTCCCCCGCCACTCCCCCAAATCCCCTCCAAAGGACTCTCATATCTGAGTTCCTCTCTGCTGCTTTTCGGGATGCGATAGGACACGTATCCGCCTTTGGCGATTCCTTGGCAATTGCAGTTGTTGTAACTGAGCAATGCTCGTGCGTGGGAGGAAGCCGGCTTCTTTTTGTCGGGTAATTGATGATTTACAACTTATTTACGCTTCGATTGTGCAATAATTGAAAATTGCTCTAAATTCATTTGGGCATTCCCTGGAAAAAATCGCCGCTGTTTCGCCAATGGCAACGGAAATGCCAACTGACTTGAAAAGAAATAAGGAAAGCCAAGTAATCTTTTAAGAAGTGAAAGTTTTTCTCTATGTTTTCCCAACCACTCGGGCTTTTATTTTACAAAATTGTGATACCTAACCTAAGCTCATTTGGAAAAAAATCAGTTGATTGCCTTTTGTCAACTACTTTCGTTTTAATTAAAATTTAAAAGCAAGTGATATATGGCCACCTTTTGGAAGGGTATAATTAATCTAGCCGCCGCATACTAAGCTTTGTAAAACACATGGCTGCTGCTGTCGACCCGATATGCTGCGTGGAAAATGGGAAATGCTAACGGCCAGCGAGCGGATTAAGCCGTTGCAGCACAAAGGAAGCTGCAGCTGCAGCATCTGCGGTAAAAACGTTCTAGTCTGCGATGCCTGGCAAGCGGACAAAGGCGAAATGTTGATCCTGGGGCGGACAGAAAGCACCAGGACGAAAAGAGCAGCAGCACTGGGCACACATCTTGGCACTGAGCCACCGAACCACCGAAACACACTGGAAAAGGAGCCCGATCCCGGCGAGCAGTGGCTTTAAATTCAATTTGAGGCAAATGATGCAGCGCAGGCAAATTTCGCAGGGCCGGCGCTTTAACGGCTTTCGACTTGAATGCGGCTGCCAGCAAATGTGGCTATAATTTGCGGCAGCATATGCCCCAGCTTGTGGCAGCTGGCAACTGCCACTCCGCACGCCCAATTGGCTGCAAAAAGGGGTCACCCGCACAAAGAATCGTAAATTAATTGCAGCCTCAAAGTTTCTTTGTTGCACTTTAGGCTGCACTCCGGACGGCCTCCAATTATGTCATTAGACAAGGTCCAGATGGGCAGCCATAAATTGCCGCCGGGGCAACCATAAACAACAGTCAGGTACGACAAATGCCGGCCCGACATGAAAATGTTGACAAATTTTTCCTTCGAAGGCCGAAGCCCCACCAAGCCCATGCGGCGTATACGCAACGTTGACAAACTCAGCTGCAATTCGTCGTCGCCAAGGGAAGCCCCATAAATCCACCCGACCCATCCGAGTCCACCCAACTGCAACTCCTTTTTAGTGCTGGCCCAACGACCCCGCCCCTATTCCGTATCTGAATCAATTAATTTGCCCGATACGGATGAATCCTGCAAAATTAAACTACTGCCGCACTGCGCTTCTAAATTGAGCGAGAAAGGCCGGCATATTAATGGGCGAGTAGGAGAATGGCCTGATATTATTAATTTGAATATTTGGGAAATTTTATGAAAACTTCGTTATTCATATGGCACATAAACCCACTAGTTTAAAACATTTTATGGTCGGAGTACATGTTTCAACATGCTTTTGCCGAAATTCTACCGGTTTAATTGCTTTGCCTGAATAAAATATGAAAATGAATTTGCGCTTGCATAGCCATGGCAGCCAAATAAATTCTTGTTCTGGTTGAAAGCTAGAATTTTGGTCAGTTTTGATAAATGAAAATAACCGATACTTTTATGGCAAAATTGACAAGATTTGTGGCAATCCTTAGCAGCAGAAATTATGAGTATGGCTTTTTTATTAAATTTTCAAAGAGAAAAAAAATTAAAGGGATTTATTTTAGTCGGTCAAGGCATACTGAAGAAAAAGTTTGAAGGTGGGCAAATATAGAACATTTATAAACAACAAAATTTCTCAAACTTCACTTAAGTAGCCACCACAATAGGCAAAGTATTTTATACTGACCTCGAGCATTCTGCAGAAATGTACGAGTATCTTTGTATGACAAATTTTTGTTTCAGTTTTAATCTCCACTGCAAAACTTTTCACTCTTTTAAAGCTGAATGCGAGCGAAACTTTTGAAATAGCCTTGTCCAGGGATATTTTTAGTGCCCGTTCCTTGCCGGCCAATTGCGATGTCGCCACGGGGCAAAAACACACTCCAGGACTCCAGGACTCTTCTCGTGCGGTCAAAAATAATGCTCGCGGCTCATGCGGCGTGGAGCGAAATGGCTGTGGCGAAAAGAGCGGCACTAACAGATGCATTAGCTGCAGACCGGCCAGAACCAGAACCAGAGCAGAGCAGGCCAGAATGCCAGAATGGCATCGGATAGGACCGAAACCGGGCACATGGCTATTAGATTACGACGCGGCCATTGAGCAGGCAGCTGTCGCCGTCCACCGATGCCGGCTTTTGCGCCTTGGCCGGTCTAAAACTCCACGCACGATTGATCCCCCAAATCCGTACGCCATTCCCATGGCTGCTCATGATATGTGAGTTGGTGCTATAGAAGGAACCCCACTTGGCATTTCCGCTCTGCTGATTATAGTTGCGCTCCATTTTGAGAGCAATAAAGTCGCGCACCGAAATTAACCCAGTTTCTGGATGACTTCGCCTGGACATCGCCATCTGCAGCGGACATTTGCATCCATCTGTTCGCGCTGTCCTCTCAGTTGACTTCATCCGCAGCGGTACCTCATGGCGTATACACGATATTCATACTCAATTCTAACGCTCAACTGATTGTTAGTGGGATCTGGGTTGGGAATGGGGTAAGTGTTCCCCCGTAATCGCTGATTCCACTCTACATCAAATGAAACGGAATCGTTTGCCATGCTGGACGTAATTAAATGTTGCACTTCCGTCGATGGCGGAAGCGGAGGCGACGATTTACGGCTTAAACAACGGCTAAGTGCAGCAATCATTGTTGGCCACCAACAGGAACTGAACG